TTAGTTTCTCGTTCTCCTCAGCGAGGGGCTCCATCCTTTTGATAAACTGCTACCGTTGCACGGCAGTACGTGCTATGCCCTGTAAAGCACCAAGATTATAAAAGACCATAGTCTCCAACGCCAAAGACGGACACCACTGACGCAACACTAACCTCAATTTGCTTCATAGCTATGCATAGGGTGGACCGTAGCCTCTTCACCTCCCTAGTGGTGTACTCCTCTTCTACGACCACAATTTCCTCCCCTCGCTTGCGAAAGATGCGGACGGTTTGAGGTCATGATCCTCCATGCTCGATCTCCTCAACCCTGTCCTCTTCCTCCACAACCGATGGCGCTGCTTGGGGGCTCGGTGGCCGCACAGAACGACCGACCACGCCTTGCGGCATCTCAGGGTGCGCCGCTTGTTCCTCCAACGCTGCCGGCCTCTGCGCCCCCGATTCCGGCACAGCTTCGGTAGCTCCTACTTTTGCCTTCAAAGACTCGGCGGCTCTCGCTGTTGCTCCTGGCATCTCCATCGAATCACCCATCATTGTCGCTGACCGCTCTCCACCTCCAACTCCTTCAGCAGCGATGGTCGAATCCTCCGCAAACCAACGAGCGCCGGGGACTCTAGGATGGAGTCTGGCCACAATGTCTCCATGCCAGGACCAGCCCCTGGCTGCTCGCTGATCTGGCCTGAAGGATTCAGATCCTCCGCATGCCCCGTTCTACATCAGATTAGCTCATCGATCTCCGCAACTATAAAAATCGAATAGCTACCGATCCCAAGGCAAAGATACATACACATCAGCTTCCTGATGAACGGTTCTGAATCAACGCTGCCTCCCCGAGCTCCCAGGCACTGCTCTGGGGTCAACCCATGTGTCCTAGGCTAGTGGTCTTGCGGCCCCAATCGTCAGCGTCTTCTCCGCTTGCCGCTCGGGGACTCCCCCTCCCTTTGATTGCATCTCCGCGCGTGTGGTGCGCGATGACGCTTTAGTGTTCGGAGGGGAAGCTACTGGAGCCTCGTCGTCGTCCGACCACTCGGATATCACCGCACTCGGTGTCTGAGAGGTCCGACCACCACCAAATGAGATGCCGACCGGCTTGCGGGGAGCTACATCTGCCATTCTTCTTTTCTTTCAGGCCAGCTCATCTTTCGCCGCCCTTTTCCCCCAAACTTTCTCCGATACCAGGGGGACTCTCCTTTTGACCAACACCTTCACCTCTAGATTCAAACAAGGTGCTGATGGCACCTTCCTTCGGCTGAGTGGTTGGCCTAGCATCCACTGCCTCTGGCCAATCGCTCCTCAGCAAGCCCAAGAAGTACGCCGCCCGTTCCTACCAATGGATCTTTCCACAAGCGAATTAGTCCATTGCTCAGTGTCGGCATAGGATAAAAAGCACCAGGAACCACAGTCGAGATTTTTACCTGAGCAGGTGACTTTGAACAGTTGAAGGGTTTCGGCTGCCCCAGCACGGTATACGACATGTTTGGAGCGAATAGTTTAGTGGCCGGTGTAGCACAGCCTCCTTCGGTAGGTTCTTCGTCCTCTCCCGGGTGCCGTCAGTATCTCCTTTGAAGTCAAAGCTCGCATGAGCCCTCTCCTTGCAGGGCTAGACACGGTGCAGTATGAAGTTCACCGCTACCACCACTCCGCTCGTCTTTATGCCCCTCATTAACTCGAGGAGCTCCTTCACCTATTCCATATCGGCACTGGTTGGTTTTTCCGACCAGCTCCTTTGATTCTCTAGAATCTGGTCGACATCGCATTGGACGACAGAATTAGTTTGCTTCATATAGAACCACCTGGCATTCCATCCCTTTAGCGAGGTATTCAGTGACACAGGAATGTATTTGCTCGCCATCCCGTCGTGGAGCTATAGATACACACCGCCGACAACTTTGGAACCAACCCCTCCTTTCTTCTTTAGCCAGAAAAAGTGTCGGAAGAGATTGAAATGGGGAAGAATGTCAAGATAAACCTCGCAGAAGCGGATAAACATAGAAATGTGCAAAATAGTGTTCGGATGAAGATTACATAAGCTCACTCTCCAATACTGCAACAGATCCCACAAGAAAGGATGTACCGGAAGCCCTAATCCACGCTAGAAGTAATCTTCGAATACAACGAGTTAGTCGGTGTGTGGCATCGGATAGGGCTCACCATCGGCCAAACGCCATCCGGCGGTGACACGATCAGGAAGAATGCCAGCCTCCACCATCTCGTTGAGCTCCGTCTCCCCCATGAGTGACGGTACCCATTCCTTGTCACGGCTCACCCTGGCGGGCGCCTTCTTCGTGTTACCACCTTCCCTCTTCGGCGCAATCCCTCAGATCTGGATCGGAACCGGTCCCTTTACGCAAGCTTTCTAGCACTAGCGGCGGAGTGCGTGTGAATGCGAATGGGGGAGCGCGAGGGTGAGGAATAAGACGAAGTGACAAAGTGGCAAAGGTGGGAGCACGGAGTGCGGCGACGCAGTTATAAAGACACCCTCCCGACTTTTCGTATTCAAGGGTTTTTGGGAAACCACACCATGCTGATTTGCGCCCTTCCGAATTCCCCAAAGCGGCGTGCTGGACCGTTATCTAGGCTTCCGCGCAACTGCGGCCCATATCGCCCATTTTTTGACGCAACTCAGTACTGCACAGCGAATATTCGCCGACCTCTCCACAATACCGTGAAGGCTCAGTAATTTCTACTGTATAGTCATTACTCTGGTTTTTTCTCCATGATTTGAGTAATCGACACTTCTTGATTTATCCAAGATTTTCACTTGTGGCTTGAGGACTACATCATCATTATGATTCGGTTTCTCACCATATTAGGGATTTTTTTTTCTGGTTACTATTGTTTCTGACCCTGGCGCCATATGACCACATCACCTACTGTCAGGCTCGGGGACAAAGTGGGCACACTTCACCTTGCGGTGAATGTGCACTTTTCATTTTAGGGCTCAGCCCATGGACTGGTTGCCTGTTCGGCTGGTCTTCTGTCTTTCTTCTACTTTTTGGACCCTGGTACCACGTGACCACGTCACCTACTGTCAGGCTCGGGGAGTAAGTGGGCACACTTCACCTTGCGGTGAGTGTGTTTTCTTTAATATGTTCATTGGAAGACTCCGTGCCTCCTGAAGTTGAAGAAGATTATCTTTCTTTCTCGTGGTCGGACTCTAAGTGAGCACACTTGGTTCACAGCGAGGAAATTTTTAATTTTAAACTTGAGCTCCTTACATCCTTCTGGCAAGCCTCACTTGGGTAAGCCCGGGCTCGCCCGGACAGTTAAGCTGGTCGGTTACGGTTCACAACTGCTCGGCGACTCATTAGGGTGGTCGGACTATGAGTCTGACTACTCAGCTTTGTTTATACCTGCTCGGATAAGCTCAAGACGGCGTTGCACAACGGATACAAGGCGCTCGGAGACTAACTGTGGGGGGTACGACCCCGGATACCCACGACAGACTACATGGACTGCGCTGTCAGGGGCGGTCCAGCCCACAAGACAAAGACCTACGGTGCACGGTGCTGCTCGGCGTGTACCGCAAGACATCAAGGACGATATCCTGAAGATGCTACGAGATCTGTTAGGATATGCTCGATCCCGTGATTCCTGTAATCTGTTATTACTTACTGGTTATCTTCTAGATCTAACCGACTTGTAATCCTACCCCCGGTTATATAAGACGGGTAGGGGACCCCCTCAAAAAACATGCAATATCATACGATAGCCAATATAAAACAATAGACCACAGGAGTAAGGTATTACATCGTGCTGACGGCCTAAACCTGTCTAACTTTTGTATCTCTGTTGCCTTCTTGTTCTTGATTATGCGCACCTCTGCTGATCAATCTATCTTCGTGGTAGCCCTGGGCAAATTTTACCGAGAACCGAGAACCGAACCGAAAAAACCGAGAACCGAAGTCTTGGTTCCCTGTTCGGTTCTCATTTTCGAGGAACCGAAATTTATTCGGTAAAATCAGTTCCCCCCTCGGTTAACCAAACTAACCGAGAAACCGGCCCATTAGGCAATAAGACCCAGCCCAGCTGTCTTGCACTCTTGCTGAATGCTGATGCCTTGCTTTAGAAGTTAGCACTCTATTTATGTATTTATTACTCTGTTTGACTGTTATATTTATCACTGTGGTTTTATGTGTAATCATGCTGAAATGCTGTCAAAATTTGCTATTGAACATGCTGTTACATGGATTTTGGGTATTGTTCGGTTTTTCGGTTCTACCCGGAACCGAAAGAACCGATACCGAACTTGGTCGGTTTCATGTTTTTTGAAGAACCGATCGGTACTGGTTTTCTGAGAACCAAACTTCTTCAAAAACCAAAGAACCGATCAGTTCAGTTTGGTAGAACTGAACACCCAGGGCTATTTCGTGAAATACCCCTCGAAAGACTACCGACGATATTCTGTCGAGAAATACCTACAAAGGTGGCAATTGAGCCCCTGACAAACGTAAAAGTGGAAAAAAAGAATCCCCTCATACTCGGGCTCGCCATGCCGCTCCGCCGTGTTTTGGATGGGCCACGCGACGCTTGCGTTGCGACGTTCCGTGCATAGCCCATATGAGTTAGTACACGGGTGGGCTCACGTTTCGCTGGCCCAATAATGACCCTCCCACCTTTCCTGCTCTTGCTCCGCACGCGTGACGGCGAGGACGAGACGAGAGGATTCTGGCGAGAGACGGGACAACGGGAGTGGGGCAGAAGAAGAAGAAGGTGGTTCAGGGGAGGAAGAGACACTCGTTTCCACCTCCTGCGGCGTGATTCGGGCAATCGGGCTCTGCAGCTCCTTCTCTCCTCCCAGCATCCATCGCCGCCGCTTGAGCTCTGCCTCCACGGCTCCACTTACCTACTACAGCTACAGGTGAGGTGATTCTCTCCTCTCCTCCACTCGCCATCCGCCAATCAGCGCCGATTCTCTCGGGAGGACAAGTGAATCTGCCGCTGAGTTAGGGGAGCTCGTTGGTTCATCAGACCGTGCAGGCTCCTGGCCGGAACTAGGAAGGCATGCTGAGTGGCCACGCCGTGACACTGAGCGAGAGGAGCGCCTCCGGTACGCGCTTGGTCGAGGATGTAGCGCGCGAGGCAGGCGATGAGGAGGAGGAGGCGGACGCCGCCGCGAGAGTTGTGTACCGGGCCTCGTTCCAAGAGCTCATGCCCAACTACCTTCAGTACGACACCATCATCTGGGCACTCATATCCCTGCTGCTTGTCCTGGCGTGGGGGATCGGGATGCTCCTGCTTCTCTACCTCCCGTACAAGAGATACGTGCTGAAGAGGGACATCCTGTCCCGCCAACTCTTTGTCACCGAGAATAAGATAGTGTACAAGGTATTGGTTGTCCTGAGTATTGATTGGTTGGTTGTGCTGGAGTTTTTCACTTCTCAGATTAACGCTGAATGGGTGTGAAATTGTTTCAGGCGACTAGGCCTTCGTACTTGCCATTCATGGGGATAGTTAAGAAAGAGATTAAAGTACCTCTCCATTTGATTGTTGATGTTATAATTGAGCAAGGTACATGACTGTAGTTCGGTAGTTTCTATTTCAATTTCAACTTTTCGCAACTTCTTGTTTGTGCGAACCAATACGACAAAACAGTCTCTACATTTTACTAAGCTGAAAATACTTTATGGTCCCTTTCAACATTGTTTATGATTGATATGAAGTTTTGCTAGCACCAGCATTTGTTTTTCCTAATTCATCAATATACTCCACTTTTTCATGGAACGATGAAGGAGAGCTGTGCATACCTATATACCGCACTTGATGGATTCATTTGCGTAAAGCTATAATTTTGTTATGTACTCAACCAGGCATTGGTTCTTTGTAAAAATTCACTGAATGTTCAAGGAAAAAAAATCACTGATGGACATGTTAATGCATTTTACTTATCTAAAAGTTAAGGGAATATATGCCTATCTTACACTAGTTCGTGTCTCATGCATAAACTTGAACAGAAAATTGTGAAACGGCCTTCTTTAAAAGTTAGAACTGTATGTTTGTATGTTTCTGAAAAAAGATCTATTATGCAGGCTGTCTACAATCTGCTTACAGCTTATACACGTTTAGAATAGAAAGCATAGCCCATGGGAAACCTGCTCCAGTGGATGAATTGCAATTTCATTGTGTCCATAATCCAGATTTTCTAAGAAAGGTGATTGCTCTGTGTTACTGCTTGCAGTGGACCTTATAAAGGTGTTTTTTTTTTACACCTGTTAATCTGTTTTACCATCTTATAGCCACAGTAATCCTTCACGGTTGAAAATAGCATTTCGGTTTTGGACTTCTCCAATCACCTCTTAGCTGGTTGTTTGCTGACATCTGTTTCTATTTTGTGAAGGTTGTAATCAGAGAAGCTTCCAGGAGCATCAGAGAAGTCCAAAGTTCGAAAACTACATCGTACTCCGAGGAAGGCCCTTCTCATATTCCAACTAGTGGATTACACTCACCTAGTGCAAAGGTAGTGCTGCAGCCCTGGTCATATGTTTGTTTGTACTGAAATTTGATTGCTCCTGCTGGGTGTCCATGATTCTAACACTGGAGTTACTATTTGCAGGTTAAAGCTTCCCCAATCCGCGCTGCCCTTGATTCTAAGGGTAAAATCCCTGACAATATATTGCTCCATAAGATTGAAGAACTTAATCGATCAGTGAAGGTAGGGGACTTATCTTTGTAGTTCTGTATCATTTAATTGCTGGTGATAGCTCAAAATCCATTATTGCCTTTTGTTTATGCAGAATCTTGAGTCTCTACTCGTAGGATCACATAGAAGAGAATGATCTGATATTCGATTAACGCATATCTGATATCATCTTCGACAATTAACTCTCAAATTAAACATGGAAAGAACAGGAGGAACAAGCAGAGTATATGAACTCTTTCTTCTATTTAGTCCTGCAAACACAATGGGAAATTGCAAAACTGCTCATGCCGAGAACGAGCTTCTAGTTTTATGCAAGTTTCACAAGTTATCTGTTGTACATAGGTCGTGCTGATTCTTCCAAGTTTCACAATTTGGTGTACAAAGAATTACAGAATCAGTGATCTTGGATCACAAAGTAGATCAACGTACATGTAAGCTTGTTTATCGTATAAATTCCAAAATGGTATCTGGTGCCAATATGTCATGGCTGATGTGAATATGCTTTTTCAGGCTTTTATTTGGTCACTGATGTAGAAGCATAAGATGTTTGAATATATTTGTTGGAGATATGTGCAAGGTTGCACCTGTTGAACTCATTCTGAAGCTTGGAGTGATAATTGATTTATCGTTTGTATAGAATGGATTGTGACCAATAAGATGTAAAGTCATTTTTTAAGTTTAAACCAATCATTCGAAGGTGTAGAACTGCATGCTTGGCCCTAATGCTTATCCTAACTTGATTAATGCCCCAATTGATAACCAATCAACCCAAAAGATCTTCCTTCTAGTACCATCCAGGCTAAATTCAAATGATGTGCACGTGCCCATAAGTTTATATCCTTAGCTATAGCAACCAATGAACAAAATCAGTATTCAAAATGCTGATTACATCTTTTCCTGCTGATACTATCATACTAAAACAACATTTGCAAATACTTATATGTAAAATACTAAATGAAGAGCTTGCATAATTGGACCCAACGTGAACGACAGTTTACCTTGACCAGAGTGTACCTTTATTATTGTTATTATTACTATTACTATTATTGTTATTATTAGTTTACTTTAAGTATAATTATACTCCATACAAGAATTCATCTGAATTCTGGCCACAATGTGCATTACACTCTATTATGTTAACTGGCTCAGACAGCCAGAAAGCTTCCCAGCAACAGCACCAACTCTATGCATTCTTGACCTCTGCATCTGAATTTTCTTTTGGATTCTCCTCACCATGCTGATGGCTGCTTACATCCTTTTCATCTTCATTCCGTGTTTCCTTTGGTTGCTTAGCATCCTCGTGACTGGTTGTGTTCTTTAATTCTACGGCATCTGCTGCTTCATCTGGCTTCTCTGTTGCGTCTTCAGGTTCACATGTATCTTTCCCATCTACTCCCTGAGGTGTTTCCTTTGGCTCAACTGCATCTTCAATGCTTCTCCTGTTCTTTACAATTGCGTTTGGTGTTTCCTCTGGCTTCTCCACTGCATCAACTTGGTTGCTCGTATTTGTCACATCTGAATCTGGCAATTCATTTGCCTTCTCCTCTGTATCTTCATGGGAGCTTGTGTTAACATCGACATCCGGTGATTCTGTTATCTTCTCCGCTACACTCCCTTGGTTTGTCATTCCAGTTTCCTTCGGTTCTGGCACATTGTTGCTTTCAAAAGTGCTTGCATCTATGTCTCTTTCAGTTGTCACAGCGCTCCTTGCAGTATCTCCCTCTGAGAGTGGAACAGTCTTCTTGATTATTCCAACCGTAACATACTTGCTCTTGAATTTGAGCTCCCATTCTTGCAAGGCCTCCACCTCGAACGGACCTAACCCCGAAATGTCACCAGTTAAGTCACTTGCTTCAAATGACATCTTTGCCAAAGCCCTACTTGCGTCTCTGCCAGCGAACAATGCGTACGGGCCACCAGGTCCATAAAATATCCTGCGAAAGGAGATGAAATTGGAAGATGAACATGTTGCAATCAAGAATATGTAATGCTCATGAACACTACTGGTTCCTGTAAAGTCAACTGGGAAAATAGTGCTCAATTTGGAAGGATAGATATGAATAAAGTCAGAATCCAAACAATAGAGAAGTCTTGACATAGAATATCATCCAGAACCAAGTACTTTAATGGTATCTGGTTGACCATCTAGTCCTTTTCATGCCATCAGATATGCTGTTCCTTTCTGATGAATCTTCTAAAAGAGAAAATAACACCTAATTTTCCCCTTGAAGGTCAGATCATTTGATTAGAACAAGAATCAGCAGAATTTTCTAAGGTCAGATAGGTAGATTACCATCTGAGCAATCTACAGTTGACGAAGGAAAATAACTGAGCTCACAATAGCTGAAAGCCTCTTGCTGAATGTGGTGACTTGAAGCGCTCTCGTTTACATGAGAAATGAATCTATTTGGGACTGACCAGCATCTAGAAACCGCAACGACAGTCAGTATGTGCGTATCGTCAAATTAACCTAGATGCTTGCAGAGCTTAACTGTCATCTAACACTAGTCGGATATAAAATGCTATTGCTAAGACCTCCGGAACATAATCCAATTCTAATTTTATCCTAGTCAAACTATGTAAAATTATTGAAAAAAAGTATTAATATCTGTGACATCGAATAATATGCTATGTAAATATTCCATAACGAATCCGATTATACTTATTTGGTATCAAAATACATATACTATGTAAATATATTCCATAACGAATCCAATTATACTTTTGGTATCAAAATTTATAGTGCTTTTTTGATAGAAATTATCTTGTTGCAATCCTATGAATCAATTGGATTAAAACCTTAGATTTATACTAGAGCCACGATGATTGATGAGTCAAGGTTCGAATAAGAACTGCTTGATGACCATTTATTGAAAGAGAAAAAGTTGTCTTTTGAGCAAACAAAATTGGAATGAAGAAAATTCATACTTTTTTTTATTAGGAATCACTTGAATTTTATTAAGAGCCACGGTGGCGCTTGAGCATCCTTACAAAACAATTAGTTTAAGAGATTTCTCCTTTGATTTCACATGGCAAGGTCCGTAAATTCAGCTTTCCCGTTGCACTTGCTTTTGCCGACATGAAGATTACTAACTGAAATGACGAGTTAATTTTCTAGTCCAACCATCTTCCTTTTGCTAATTTGTTTTTTCAGTAATAAAGATTACCTTTTTTTGCGATTAGTAATAAAGATTAACTGAAGACTCCTATATGAACCATTTTATTTTAAAAAAAATTAGTACTCCGTACTAAAGATTCTACGAGAGTCTTTTTTTTAGAGAAAAGATTCTATGAGAGTTTTAGGGGTGCTAGACTGCTATTGTCTCCGTTCCAAGTTTTTCCATCACAAACAAAATCAAAACAACAGGCTAGACAGCACGTACCTGCTCTGCGTGACGTCGTAGATTTGGCCCTTGATGGCCATGAGCAGCGGTTTCTTGGGATCGGACCCATCGTAAGCTCGCAGCTCCTCCTCCGTCACCTCGCCGAGCTGCACCGGCGGCGGCAGTGGTTCGAACGCCCTCTCCTCCGCCGCCACCTCCTCCCTCCTCGTTGACGTCTGCGCCGGCCGCGCGAGCAGTCCTGAAACCGCGACGTACAGCGCCGCGGCCACCCCCACGGCCGTGAAGAACGCCGTAGGAGTCATCCCCGTGTACGCTGCGACGGCCGCCGTCGCCGCATCCCACCACTCCGCCATCACCATGGCCATGGACGGAGCAAACCGACAGGCAAGGGGAGAGGGAGAGGGTGTAGTGTAACCGACAGAGTAAGGTGGAGGGGGCAACGTAAGGGAACAGGTGAAATGGGACGCGCGAAGTGTGCGCCTTTTTTCAGAGGGCGCTGGGGGACAGGGGGAGCAGCACCGCGCGGTGGATGGGACTTGGGCGGTGCGGTGCGGTCTATGACGGTGGTGTGGTGACCTGGCGGGAGCCGGCGAGTCAGCGTTGGAGAGGGACTTGCAACCGCGCGGTTTTCTTCACCTTTGCAGTTTTCATTCACCAGCCAGCCTCCCTGTCTCTCTCCTTGCTGAAGACAGAAACGGAGAAAAAAAGAACCAGATTCGGAGAATGGAGAACTGGAGATAGGTTTGCCGTCAAGTCAGGTTTTCTGGAGAAAAAATGTCAAGTCACATTGTCGACAAGTCGACATGAAAAATCAGGAATCGTGTGGTTTCTCTTTCTCTAACATTGAACATCAGGCTGTCAGTGTGCCAGGTGAAGGCGATCTTTTTTCAATTGGTGGGCTGAGGAAATCACATTACTGGGCTTTTGGAACCGTTTGTGAGGGACCGTGCGACCTGAGCCCACCATGCTGATGCTGTGCAATCAGTCAATCACACCGCCCAGTAACCAGTGCGCTTGGAAACCTTATTCCGTTTGGGCCATTTTCTTCCTGAATCCTTGAGGCTAAGCGAACAGCCTACTAAGGCTCTGGCAGAGCTGTTGTCAAAAAAAAAAAAAAATCCTGATCCTTAGAGGCTAAGCGAACAACCTACCAAGGCCCTAGCTGCTAGCTGATTTTCTGCTGAATCCAGCAGCTCTGCCAAACAATTTTTTAGAGAAGTGATTCTCTGCTGATTATGTGAAGTGGTTCTATGAAATGAATTAAGAGGCTAAGAGCTGAAAAAACTAGCTTCTTCTAATTCTATGGAGTGATTCTCCATCATGATTTTGAGAGCTTATGCTAAAGAATTAAAGAGAACCACTTGTTTCAGGGAATCAGCTTCCACATGGAATCAGAATCAGATGGAGAATCTGCACCACCCGTAGCTGATGGCCAGTGCGAATCTAGGATAAATTACCGTGCTGGCCCATCATACTTGGCCCATTTGGCCATCTATACCCCTGCTGATGGCCACAGAATATTAATGCAATGAACAATGCAGTCTACATCGCTGCAGATAACAACGTACAGTATATGTTATTGTCTGCCCTAATTGTTTTCATTCGCTTGCATTTCTGTCTGCTTGAGCGACGGAACGCAAGTCGTCAACGATATACAGCGTGCAGCGTGCTCATACGAACGCTGCACGTCACCACGGCAAGGGCTGCAAACAGTCCCGAAGTTGACTATGAATGCATTTTTGTTGTACACGTAACCTTCGATGTACATCATATCTGATCTCGAATCCTAAACTATGGAGATTACAAAACAATGATTGCTGATAGGCCATTATATTATGTCCCAATCAAAAAAGCCCCAAATTTCAAAGGGTTTTTAACATGTAGCGAATGGCCTGTAAGTTTTTTTTTATACAGGGAATGGCCTGTAAGTTCGTAACAGGATCAGATCTTGCACACGTCTTGCAGTCGCCAGTCCATCCATTCATTCTGTGTTCGCACTTCGCAGTCAATTTCAAGCCTCACGTGTTTCTAGAGACGTCAAATCGTCAATCTTACAATATAGAGCAAGAAAATCCAAAAGATCAACCTCGCAGTCGACTAGCTCCAAATAAGAAATTAATAAACATTGTGAAGTGTGAACTACAGAATACAGATACAGAGAGCTTTTCCCTTGACGAAATCAAGATTCCTTCGCAGCAGTTCGCTCATCTCGCTGCAGGGATGTCAGAGATGTTGCCAGCTACGGCAGATGACGAAGAGTGCGCCTTCAACGCCTGGTTTTGCATCAGAGCCTGCAAGTCGAAGCTTAGGTGAGTTTCCGACAGCTCCGGGAGCGGCATGCTGCCATCCAAGAACTGGACGATCTGCCGAATGACAGGGCGCGCACCGGGCAACGGGTGCGAGCATAGCAAGCTCAGCTTCAGCACCCGGCTCGCATCTTCGACGGCGAAGTCACCGTGGAGGCGCGGGTCAACGGCGTCGGTGATCGTCCCTTGGCGCCAGTGCTGGAACACCAAGTCCAGCAGCAAGCGGTGGTCGCCGTGCTCATCTTGCAAGACCGGCCGCCGGCCGCAGCTGACCTCTAGCATGAACACGCCGAAGGCGAACACGTCGGACGCCTTGGATGCCCTGCCGGTGTGCCCAAGCTCCGGAGCAAGGTACCCCCTTGTTCCAATCACGTGCGTGGTGTGCGGGTCGGTGCCATGGTCATACAGCCTCGCCAGGCCAAAGTCGCCTAGCCTTGCGTTCATCTCGGCGTCGATGAGCACGTTGCTCGCCTTGATGTCTCGATGCAAGACGACTTGCTCCCAATCCTCATGGAGGTATAGCATGCTGGATGCGACGCCTTTGATGATTCGTAGCCTCTGGCCCCAGCTCAAAACAAGACTGTTTTGATTGTGCAAGAACTTGTCGAGGCTACCGTTTGGCATGTAGTCGTAGATTAGCAGCAGCTCACCCTTGCGCCGGCAGTAGCCAAGCAGCTGGACAAGGTTCCGGTGCCGGAGTTGGCCAATGGTGACCACCTCCGCGACGAACTCCTTTATTCCCTGCCTCGACTCATGGGACACCTTCTTCACTGCAACCTCTGTCCTGGACACAGGTAGCACTCCCCTGTAGACCCTCCCGAATCCGCCGATGCCAAGCAGGTGTTCGTCACAGAAACCTTTGGTGGCATGGAACAGATCCTTGTATGAGAATCGGTGCGGCCCAAACATGACCTCCCATTCCTCTCTAAGCTCCGCGTACTTGTGCCGCCGCCGCCGGATCAGAAGGATGACGACAGCCAGCGCCGACACGAATGCCGCCGATGCTATCGGTAACACTATCTTGAGTATCTTTGACGGATCAGGTTTGGGGATCGTCACCGGCAAGGCTGGCAGCCTCGATATGTTTAGCGGCGGGGCCGGCCCGTCCATCCTGAAGCTCCACGCGAGCACATAGTGGCGGCTGGCGACGACGCCGGTGGACGACGACAAGCCAACGTAGGCTTCTGATCCGTCGACGATCGCCGAGAGGTTCACTGCGGTGGAGAGCAGCGGCTTCCTGGGCTTGGGCAGCTCGAGGGGAGCCATGGTGACGTTGACCAGCGAGGTGTGCGCGTCGAAGTCCACCCACACCTGCGCCGCCGTGCGGTTCAGCAGGCTCATGTTCCGGAACGCACCGGTGCCGTCGTCGTAGTAGCCCGCGTTGTCCGCGACCACGGACACGAGGCCGTTCACGTTGACGCCGACGTGGTTGTTGCTCATGTCCCCGAACTCGGCGTTGACGATGGTGTCCAGCTCCACGGCCAGGAAGTGGTTGGTGGCATTGCCGTTGTCGGCCTCGTTGGCCAGGCCCATGTACTGGCTCTGCAGCGCCGTCGAGAAGTCGGTGCTCTTGGCCACCACGAAGGCCAGCCCGGGGCTGCTGAGGTCGGCGTACTCGCTGACGATGCCGAACACGTAGGCGGCCGAGAAGGACCGCACGGCGCCGTCGCCGCTCGCCGCGTCGTGGCGGAACCGCAGAGGGGAAGGGTAGAAGGCGTGGCCCTTGAGCAGCGTCGTGCCGTTGGTCAGCATGAGGAGGCCGTTTGGGGTGACTGCAGCCGTGCCGTCGAGCGTGACGTTCCTGCCGGCGAAGCCGTCGAAGGTAAATTGGTCAACCGCCGTCGCCGCCGCCAGGCGAAGGCGATGGAGTGTCAGGAAGAGAAGCAATGGAATGTGGCGCATGATTCTTGGCTTGCGATTGGTCTGCCCCATGGCTCTAGCAGCATCGAGTGTTTGCTGAGGTCAACATGCTAAGAGATACGCATATGGAAGATGGAAGAATCGGTCCGAGTATACCGTCATGATAAGTGACGGAAGAAGATTAGTTGGTCGTGTAGTTTGGACGTACACGTACGTGTCGAGATGCCAAGGTCTACAGTCTACACATGTGGAAGAAACTTCCAAGATAAGCCCGACGAATTGTATTTAATTCAGTACGGGCTTACAAAACTGCAAGAACAACTATTGGGACGAGGGGATAATGTTAAGCCCAGAGTGATGTAGTTATCGTTGCACGGTCACTATGAAAGATACGGTTCTGGCGTTCTGCTAACAAAATCCTCTAGAAGACCTTAAGCGACCTCACTCTATTCTGTGCTAGGAAATAAATTGGATGGGCGAGGGCCGCATCAACATCTACGTGCGCTCTCCTCACTGATGGACGCCACGTGGAGCCCGACGGCATCACACGCGCCGCATTTGGAGTTAGCCGTGGTCCTCGCTCCCCTCACGATGGAACGGCAAACAGACACGTGGACCACGGCTCCAACTCTAGATGCGGTGCGTGCGATGACGTCGGCCTCCACGTGGCATCCATCGGGGAGGGGAGCGCCCGCAAGCGTCGGTGCGCGGCTCGCCCACCCAATTTATTTTCCTGTGCTAAACCGCGTGTGTCCGCGCGTCCCCTTCCGTTTTTGTTTTACGTACGCAATGATTGTGGGAATAGGTGTGCAATTCGCGTGCAATTATTTATTTTAGTATTTACAAATCATGTCTGAAATGCCGAACGGTTTCCTCGAATTTGTCTTGCTAGTATTATATAGTCACTTTGTTTTCAAATAGTGTATTTGATATCATCAACTCTTAGACTTTTTCAAACAATGTATTCTTGGCAGGTGACTGAAAATTTATTTAAGTATCAGTCAACAGCCTGAACCGTAGGGATCTAGATCTAACGGTAGGTGTACTTTCTTCTTCCTCCTGCTAATTGACGTTGGTTACTCACCACACCACGGCGCCCGTGCATCCTGCAATCAACTGCCTGCAGCCAAGTCGCGACTAGCGGAGTCCGTGCACCACTGACGGCGTCTCGTCGGAGAGGTCAAAGATTGGACGCAGAG